TGCAGAAAAAAAATTCTCCATTGGACAACTGTTTGTTTTGTGTCTTTGCTGACAGTTTCTTTAATTGTTTGGTTAACAGATATTCTACCTCATGTGTTAGTTGATCCAATTTGAACTGAAAACATCCCATCTGTAAACTGCTGATAAATATCTGAATGTCGCTCAGACAACTGAGAGATTTCTGCATAATACACACTGAGGTATCGGGCGTAGTTGACTTTGTCATAGGCAAAGCACCAATGCATGTCAAGTACAGCAGCCAGTTTCCTTCTCTTGAGGCACGTATCAGACCAAGAAGAACATTAACCATGTCGATGTAGCTCATCCAATATGATAAGGGGCTATTGTTATTTCTCAAATAATCTCAGAAGTTTGGGAAGTAATGCAGTAGGCCTTGAAGTTGTTCATTTTGCAAAATCTCTTCAAAGACTTTCTGAGAGAGGTCATCATGTAGGTTATTAACTACCTCTAATCTTGCCTCCACACATGCGATATGACTCTCGTGGTGCTTCTACATCCACAGAATGAACTCTTTTTTCCATGCCAGACGAAGCAAAGCTTCATACATACGCTTGTGGGTTTTTACTGCTCTGTTGTATTGGTGTCTTTCCATTACTGCTGTGACTGAGCCTTCAGCGACAATGCCAACTTCTATAACGATGCTTCTGAGTCCAGCATCTTGGAATCTTTTGCCAATTATTGATAGTAGATTACAAATTGTGTGGAAGTTGCCCATTCTCAGTATCAAGTGCTGAAATTTCTTACGGTGTTTTCATTTAATTTCGGTAGCTTTTGCATATAATGCCTTTCAAACACAATTATGATCTTTTAAAGTTGGAGTGATTCTCTTATTTCATCAAATTGGTTCAGTACTTCATTTACAGTCGACATATATGTATCTGGTGCATTTATGATTGGAATATAGTCAACCACGTTCTGTGAGATTGGCATGTCCTTTCTCGTGATGATGTTCAAGCCAGTCCAGCTTATGATAGCTTGTTGTCTGGTATCAACTTGCCGTGTGAGAAATCAGACTAAATCTTTGTATAGTGATACTTTCAAGACATCAGTATGGTCCACATCCATGGGATTTAACTTTCGGGGACCAACTGTTTCACCAGTTATGTAGACTGGTAATGACATTTCATCCACGTTCAAGCTTCTTCGTTTTTCATTTATAGTTTTGGGCATATCTTTTTTCGATGGTAGAGGTCCAAAAACTCTCGGCTGAACAGCGATCCCATTTACTCTGTGTGATTTTACTTCTCCAGT